GGGAAAGACAACGCGTGAAGAGTATTAACGACGGAATTAAGACATTGAGACAAATGCTGCGCTCGGATGACAGCAATACTATCAGCAAATCGGCGGTCATTTTCCGGTGCATAGACTATATCCTGTGTCTCGAGAAGCACCTGTCGGTCCACATCGAGGAGAATATTTTACTTAAATATTTGTCGGCAAATAAATCTCATCCTGGTCATTAATGGGTGTTTTATATTCATTCAAATTATATTTTTTATAAATTTTTATATTTTTGTTGTACTTAATAGTTTGATGTTATTTTCTTAATAAAGTTTAATCTTTATAATTAAATGTTATTTTTTAGTTAATCATTTTGTGTTATATTTTTGTGTCTATAATAAACATTTTTTATTATTTTACTTTTAATAAAATTTATTATTTTTAAAATGTTATTGGAGTTTATAAAATTTTAAGCATTATGTTAACACCAAGCATAATATTTTTATATCTACGGTACACCTAGAAATGTATATAATTGCCTTGAAAATCTTAATTGTAAATCCAATAAATTGGGTGGTTTTTCTAAAACATTTATTAAATACCAAAATAAATAGACAAACATTTAATAAACATTAAATTTTAAATTCCTTTTTTATTTCGTATTTTATTTTTACAATAATTCAGACAATAGATTAATTGCTAAGTTAACATTGATATAAATGTTATTTTAATTTAAATGAGGTTTTATTTTAATGCAATTAACGTACATCCGTGAAGTTATAAATTATCCTATAATTACATACATTGTACATTAATACTATAATTATTTTATTTATTATCACTGATAATTTATCAGATTAGTATTGAATAATAGTTTTCCTAAAATAATGTGCAATCAACTAATTGCGTAAAATTAAAAAATATATTTTTGACGTATATACCTCAATTAATAAATCAATTAAATTGTTTAGTATATTATTTTTAATTAATAAGTTTAAATTATTCAGAAAATCATATTTTAAAACTTATCATAAGATACTAAGAAAATAAATTATATTTTGGAATAATACATAATTTATATAGACCAGATTCAAACAAACATAGACTAATTTAACTTGTATGAAATATTTATTATAATTTTCCACTAGACATCAAATATTTTTAGTACATTTTAATTAAAATATTATTTATATTTTTATTTTAAAGTACAATACAAAACAATTTGCAACATCAAGTACAGTAATATATTATGTTCAAATAAACTATTTCGAGGAACATGTACAGGATAAAATATTTTTAAAAATTTGGAAATATAATTTTAGTTAAAAAAAACTAAATACTTTTGTTTATTGTAACACGTGAATTAAGGATGGTATTATTTACTAGAAACTAGATAATATTATATGACATTTACACTAAAAATACTTGAATATATTAAAAATAATATTAATTCTCTAACATTAAAGATGAAAATAATTTATTATTCTTTACCTTAAAATATAAATAACTTATTGTACTTAATTTGTTATTTCGGACATACTAGTGTACATTAAACAATTAAACTCAGTACAGTATTTTTTATATAATTTAACTTTTAAGTTTTTATTCTATCTAAATTATACCTGTTATATGAATGGATAGATTAAAAATATAAAAATTCACAAGTTAATGTAATGTTTTCCACATTGCTTACGGGGTCATTTAAATCATTAAAATAAAATACACAATAAATTAAAGATATTCCAAATTTACGTATATTGCAAATTTTAAAAAAAAGATTTTAATCAGATGCATTATAGCTTCACAAATACAACATAATTTAATAAATCAATAAATTTAATGAAACTTATAAATTTCATATTAAATAATTACAAAAATGTAAGTATATTTATAAATTTTATGTTATGTTATGTTAACATAAATTTATTAAATGACTACAAAATAATGTTTATATCGTAAGTAAAAGCAGCAGAAAATGAAACCAATGAACATAAGCCAAAACGAGACTACATTTATAGATAAAGTGGTTTATATGGCCCATCAGTATTGGATCGATGAAACCGACGATAAAGTTAGACATTATTTTTTAATGTCTGGCGGACCGGAACAGTTCCTCATGATTATGATGACATGGCTACTATTTGTCACTAAATTGGGTCCAATGTTCATGAAAAACCGGAAACCATTTGTATTGCGAGAGATTATAATGGTCTATAACTTGATACTAGTGCTCACAAACGCTTATTATATCTACGCGTCCCTCAAATGGTTAGAGTTTGGCCGCAAATCACTGGACCCCAAATTACCAGGCTACTGGTCCGATAAAGCACTGTCGGAGTTGAATGAAAAAGCTGTATATGCCTACACAAAGTTATTTGATTTATTGGATACAGTATTTTTTGTATTGCGAAAAAAGACTAACCAGGTCTCATTTCTACACGTTTACCACCACTTTATGGGTATTATTATTATCATTATTTGTTATAATAATTAACTAATTTAAAATTAAAACAGTGCCTGTGCTAGGATGGACAATTGGCAAACTCTGTCCTCAAACCATAATAATGGAGATATTTTGTTTGCTTAACTCTACTGTCCATACAGTCATGTATTTGTATTACTTATTGTCGGCATTTGGACCCCAAATACAGCCCTATTTATGGTGGAAGCGATATATCACACGATTGCAGTTAATTTAACTCTATTGTCCATACAGTCATGTATTTGTATTACTTATTGTCGGCATTTGGACCCCAAATACAGCCCTATTTATGGTGGAAGCGATATATCACACGATTGCAGTTAATACAGTTCGCTATACTTATAGTGTACAGCAGTTATATCATATTATTCAAAGACCTGTCCGATTATCCGATAGCTTTGCAATGGATAGGTGGGGCCCAACCCTTCGTTTTCTTTTATATGTTTTTCAAGTTTTATATCACAACTTATCAAATGAAACGCAAAATTCAATAATCAATGGTTTAGGTCTTGTTATAAATATTATACAAAGTAAAGTGGATTGCTTTACGTGGGTAATTTCTGTAATACATTATAATTTAAATGAAAATATTATTATTTTAAATAAAATTGTTTTTTAAGTACGTAAAGTTCGTAATTATAACATTAATATTTAAAATATATTTGACGTCAGTTTACTGAACAATTTTATGTAACATGGTATAAATAACAAAAACAAATTTAATCACTTGTAAAAATACTAATAACGCAAAAATCCTTATAATAATTGATGCAATTAATAAACAACAAAATATTTATTTCAAATGAATCTTTTAGGACATTAGGACTTAGAAACGTAATTGTAAAATTGTTGATAAAATATATTATTTTATTTGAATTGTAAATTATAAACGAAATTATTTAATTTACGTATATACTAATGGTGTTTTATTTGTATAACACATATTATATACTTAAAATATTTACCAAATATTTATTTTGTATATAATTAGTATTCGCAAATATTCAAGATAATTACAGTAACTAATAAATTACAAGTATTGCTAAATATGTCTAATTCCTTTGAATTAACATTGGATAAAACGATTGTTGACTTATTTGGCCGGGTGTTTAGTACCGATGGCTATATTTACTACTGGATCTACGAGTACTGGGAACAAGGGATCGATACACGGACTCGGGGTTATTTTCTGGTGGACATGTCACCCCTCACATTATGTTGTATCCTGGCCATGTATATAATTCATGTAAAACTTCTCATACCATATCTCATGAAAAACCGAAAGCCATTTGACTTAAAAAAGATTATCATCGGATACGACGTGTTACTGGTATTTACGAAATATAACTTATAATATCTTTAAAATATAAATATAAAATATTAATTGTTATAACTGACCATGGTCAGGTAGCTATTAATGCTTATTTTTGGTTTTACTCGTTGGCACACATCACCGATATGTGGGACTTTAGTAACCCTAAAACTGATACCTCAGACAAAGCCATGAAATTCATAAATACGGCTCATTTGTATTACTTGTCAAAATGGTTTGACTTATTGGACACATATTTCATGGCATTAAAGAAAAAGAACTCGCATCGCACGTGGGTTGGCTACTGTGTCGCAAGCACCCGGAGGTACTCGAAAAGGGCAAAACCATCGACATGAGCGACCTGGACAGGGATCCGCTTATTAAATTTCAGCGCCGTTTCTACATACCATTGGTGGCACTCATTTGGGGCGCATTCCCCACATACGTGCCCTACTATTTGTGGGGCGAAAGTCTGTGGAACTCCTATTTCCTATGCGTTATGTTTAGGTACGCGCTCATCCTGAACATCACATGGTGTGTGAATAGTGCGGCTCATTTATGGGGCAAAAAGGTACTTTATAATTAGACATTTTAATATTTAATCATAACCATGCTAAATTTTGATTCATTACTATAGCCGTACGATAAGTCAATAAATCCAGTCGAGTGTGTGATTCGTCACGTAATGTTTGGCGAGGGATTTCATAACTATCACCATACATTCCCTTGGTAATATTTCACTAAACTAATACAATTAATTAAATGAAAAACCTTCTCAATAAATTGCACCAAATTTTACATTCGTAATATTACAATGCCCAAGCTTATGTAGTTCGAGTACAAACTATTAATTATAAAAATTTTAATTAATATCCAGGGATTATTCAGCTAGTGAGCTTGGTGCGTTTGACGTGTTTAACCCTGCTACCATGTTCATCGACTTCTGGGCCTACTTTGGACAGGCGTATGATTTGAGAAAAGCGTCTGACGATGTGGTTAAGAGCCGACAGAAACGTAGCGGTGATATGAATTGGAAAGGGAGCACAAAGGTCTTTGAAATCGCCACATGCCTGGCCACTATCGGTCTAATGTACGCCCCATTTATCATTGGATTTTTATTAAGGAGTGCCGGTATTTATGGTGCTCCCTTATACCGTGTTAACTAATTTATCTCAAAAGTTGTTTTGTTTTGTGTACTTAACTGTGAACTTTTAAGTTAATTAAACTATTAAAATAAATAAATTGAGTAAAAAGATTTATTAACTTATTAAAGCTAAAATTTATTTTGAATTTTGTGTCACTAGTAACTGATTGGTGAATAAAATATTGAATAGAATATTTAATTTACATAATGTAAGTAAGCATAGAAAAATAATCAAGATAATTTTAAATGAAACTAATGATTGCGCTGTCAATACACATGTTTGCGGCTATGGATGGAAATGCCGGTACCGAAGAGTTTGGCGAAAGTCTCGCTTATGAACGACTGTCCGCTGAAAGTATTGGTAGTGAAACATCGGACGCCGTGTTTATGGGACAGTAGTCAAGGACCGGATACGAGGAAATGTTCGGCTATTTGTCTGATACACCGGGAATTTCCGACAAACAGGGAATATTTTGGGAGCCAAAGGTCAGCACCGGTACTATTAAATACTCATTAACTGAAAAAAGGTTTTTCTGGTGTTTGCTTTTGTGAATATTTCACTTATAAGTTGTAATAAACAATTATAATGATTAAAACTATAGTTGGTAAAATTACATTTGTCGTGAACTTGATAATACTTGATAATAATCATTTTGTGATTCACATTTAATGTGCTTTTGTTTACGTAGGTAAAATATTAGGTTTATTATAAATATCAACAGGTATTCAAATCTACGTTCACTTTATTTGATTGATTGAGAAATTTATTTTATTTTATTTTATAAATTACATATAAAACAGTGATAAACATTTTAAAAGTAAACTTTTTAGTTTTGTTTGGTATAGGCTCGCTGTAGTGTTAACACAATGTAAGTGATTTAGTTAAGTAATTATAATTTTGTTTTATTAATGTAATATAATTATGACAAATAGGACCCAGTCTACAGCCACTGAGACCGAAACCGGTAATAATAATAATGAAATTGGTTTCCAAAACGGCACAGAAATCGATGCCAAACCAAAACCCGAATACAAACTTGAATTGGTCTGGCGCAATATAATACTGATGACTATAGTACATTTATCAGCTATTTATGGTTTATACCGGGGTGTTTTCTACGCCAAACCGATGACCATTTACTTCATGTATCTGTTGGGTCTCCTTTCATCATTTGGTGTTCAGGTATGTCATCAATATGTCTATAAGTCTCTTATAAAGTCTTATTTAAAATAATTTCTATATCTTAAGCGCATAATTATTTATTAGTAAAGATGATTTACATACAGCACAATATTAGTAGTACCAGTATTTGCGGTAAAATAATTTTATTTTTTGAGTTAAAGTATTGGTTTTAAATAATTACAATTGAAAAAGAGTCATTAGGATTGACATTAAAACATTATGATTACAATATTCTAGTTAATATTTAATATAATAAAATACATTAAACTCATTTGTTGTGATTATTACTTATTACTTATTACTTAATTACTTACGATACAATTTTCAAGACTAATTACAAATTAATTTATTTACAATGACATTAAGTGTGGGGCGCATAGGTTGTGGTGCCACCGGACCTATAAGGCCAAACTGCCCCTTCAGATACTGTTGGCATTCATGCATATACTGGCCCTCGAGAACGACATTTACGAGTGGAGTCGCGACCATCGCGTGCACCACAAGTACTCCGAGACGGACGCCGACCCTCACAACGCCAAAAGGGGTTTCTTTTTCGCGCACGTGGGTTGGCTACTGTGCCGCAAGCACCCGGAGGTACTCGAAAAGGGCAAAACCATAGACATGAGCGACCTGGACAAGGATCCGCTTATTAAATTTCAGCGCCGTTTCTACATACCATTGGTCG